TTGGGTTGGAAAAGTGGGGGTCGTCTTGTACATGGGGGTGTCTTATTGTCGGAAAAATACGGTACGTCATACTTCCTTGTTCATGGACTGCAATATCTACAACGGTTTAATAGGACTATTGAGTATCTGCGTAGACACATGAAGAGCCACTGAGAAACTTTGCCTGAGATCAGGCTCATCACATTGGAAACTTCCAAGCTGCTCCCTTACTCACATGAATCTGCCTGGAGTGCAAGCCTAACAAAATTTCCCTTCGCATCTTTTCAGGTGATGGAGTGATTCTAGATAAGTGTACCAAGATGCGATTACAGGCGACATAAACAAAGGCATTGCACAATCTCATTTCTCTAGTAGAAGTTTCTATAATATTAGCAGGAATAAAAGATGTAGTTCTTAAATACAGTTGATGTTTCAGCAAAGTTATAGCTGCTATTTTTCATCTTTATCCTGTGACTGATTTAAAAAATAAAGCTGCAATAATTCTGAGCCTAAAATTTTGTTCAGTTACGGCTAGATAAGTTAAACATCTATTTTCTGCAATTTAGGCCATGTTTGAAGAAGCTGGTGAAATTCATGGGGATCTTGAAACTATGAATGAAAATATAGAATACTTGGCAAGTGTGTATTTCACTGAAGGGATGTCTCAGCAAGTGTCAGAGCTTCGCCGACAGACTGAGGATTTACAGCAGTTTATCAGACAGCGGCTACAAAGTATTCAGGATGCAGCCAAAGTAAGTGGAAAGAACTTCATATGCGCCTGATCCGTGGGAGCTGTGTTGTTATGAAAGCACAATGCTAATATAGTTTATTTTAATGTAGCTATTTATTTTATTTGTTTAAATTTATTCTACTGAATTCTTATTACAATTGCTATTTTTTAATTACTGAAAGCAGTACAGCTTTGTTTTTAAGTTGGTAAGTACCTTAGGAACTTCTTCAAAGGTGGAACTTAAGTTGAATAAATCAGTCTTCCATAACTTCACACAAAGATGTGTCTTGAGGTTCTAACTCCTAGAGCTCATCCTCAGGTACTGATTATTATTATCTGAAGATGTTTCGCTTGCAATTTTGAAAAACGTATTCTTATATCTCATCCTCAACCAACTGCAGTAGTAGCATACATCTGAATTTAGCTGTTCCAGTTTAAAAGTACTGTTCTTCCTCTTCTGCTGTCATGTCTTGCCATATGCATGATACACAGCATTTCCTTGACAATATGGGGGGTGATGGAGTGAGGGAGTGGCCTGTTGAATCCTATTGGCCTCCTTAAGCTGCAGTGGACATCCTCTACTTGAGTCAATTAGATTGCCTTCCATGACCATTTTGGCATGGGTTAAAAGAAAGACCAGATACTGGCGTCCACAGAGGCAACTAAGAGGAGGGGAAAAGCAACCTCAGAAGAACTTTTAAGTCAGTGAGGAAGCCCTTTGAGCTTGATTTACCCCTTCATAGCCATGCATAGGATTGTGTAGTCTGTATGGGAAAGAGAGCTTGCCTGCTGATATTGCAATCCTGCAACCCAGGGCATGTTTCTAGTGCTGAAGTTTGTCCTCCAGGGAATTCAAAGATGCTGATTCCTGAAGAAATACTTAATTATATGTCAGCCCTGGTAAAAGAAAGGAGGGTTGAGGTGATAGAGAGGGGAAGGCTGACTCTTTGTCCCCAGAAACTGACACCCAAACAAAATGTTAAGTTTAGGGTTAATGCAATTTGCAAACATAAATGTAGTGCTGTTTTCAGGATAGCATTATTCCAGAATAGAACTATCCTGAACTAATACCAAACTTGTATCCCAAAGATGAATGCACCCCCACAAAAGTCACAAAATGAGGGCATGGTTTGACAGATGGCTAAATCTATTGTTCTAGCCACCTGCAAGAATTTGCCTCCGCCCCAGCTCTAACCCAACTTCAGGTTAAGGAAAGCAGTTGGTGGGGAGATGTTTGCGGGAAGACAGATTAAATAAGAGGAATCCTCCAATCACTTTCCTTAGCCTGTCTCATATTAAAACTGTAAGGACAGCACCATTCACGAGGCAGAATAAGGCTCAGCAATGAGTGAAATGCACAATATGCTGGGTTAGGGTTAAGATTAGCACTACACTCACTGCAAGGAAGAGCCCTCAGAATTCCCAGCCAATGTAGGAAGAATGCCAGGTTGGGGAGCAGTGGGGGGGCGGGGAGAGAGAGAGAGAGAGAGAGAGAGAGAGATGAGATGATTTCTTGTGTCACTTCCCTTCAAAAAGATGAAAGGATCCTGTTTATTGTCATGGATTTCTGCAGTAGATCTTTCTGAGACCTGTCAAACTAAATGGCAAAATTGAATGAAACAAAATTGCAATCCTTGAAAACTCTGACATCTTCTGCTCATGTGGCCCAATGTGTTAGAGACTAGCACATTGGGCCACATGAGCAGAAGATGTCAGAATTTAGAAAGACATTTTCAAGGATTGCAATTTTGTTGTTGACTTCTGCAACAGCTCCTGGTACATATAATTTCTCTGTCTCTAAGGCAGCAGTGAAGAACCTGGGGTTTTCAAGATTTTGTTATAGGATCTCAGCTCTTGTTATTCCCAAACAAGACAAAGGGAACTGTGTTCCAAAAACATCTAACGGGCCACAGGTTTCCTACTCCTGTTCTCTTAGAGCTGTTAGATTCACTTGAAAAATAGAAGGTTCTTCTGCAGGCACAATAGTATATTAAATGAATGATAAAATAGGGAAACCTGCATTATTAGTTGTACAATATGCACATCAGGCCTACATGCAACTTTGAACCAAGTAAGATTACATTAATATAACACATATTATAAAATCCATATTGTAAAATCTCAGTATTTAGACACGTGTATCACTCATAAAAACATTAAGATGCCTGAAATCATGTTTCCTGGTTTTGCTTGAAACTCATGTTTTCTGCTACTCTTTTTATTTTTATAGGATATGAAGAAATTTGAAACAGAGGTGAAGGCTCTTCATACAGCTTTAGAGCAAGCTCAAGCCACTCTAACATCTCCAGAGATTGGCCGTTTGAGTCTGAAAGAACAACTTTCTCACCGACAGGTAGAGTGATCACACCATGGAGATACTATTTGCAGGACAGTTGTGAAATATTAATTCTTGGGTTACTTTGAGCCTGGGAACGTTCTTTTGGTTTTTAGGCTGAGTGCTAATAAGAGCAGTCCTGATATTGAATGGTTTAGTTAACCCACCTAGTTGTCCTCTTCCAGATGGGTGCTGGGAAAGCTAAGAGACGGGAACATTAAGTTCAGCATTGGCCTTTGTGGAATTTGTCATAACCACAAATAGCCTTCTAGGTTTACCTGATTTCACAGTGGTTTTGTATGATACTGTAAGAAGCATGTATTTCATAATACAGGTAGTCCTTGTTTAGCGACCACAATTGGGACTGGCAACTCACTTGTTAAGCAAAGTGGTCACTAAGTGAAACATCCCGAATTTATGTTTTTACTTCAGCTTTCCTTTGTTTTACAGACGTGTGAAGGTCGTAAATGCAGGCATTGGTTGCAAAGTTACTGTTTCATCAGTAACAGTGAACAATCACTCTCTGAGGCAGTAGCTAAATGAAGACTACCTGTACATCAACTTCTGGTCTCGTGTTAAACTGAAACCACTAACAATATAGATACGTTTATTAAAAGCTAACTTCCAACTGCCTTGTGATCACCATGTTTCTTAGATCTGTTATCACATTCATTAAAGTTTTAAAATATTCCACTGTAAAATTTATTTTGAACATTTGAGACCTAGAATTAATAATTATATTAATTTTTAGCTCATTTAGCAAAATGTACATGGTAACATTGCTTATGTATGCTCATTGTTTCTAGCATCTGCTTTTGGAAATGGAATTATTGAAGCCAAAGGTTCACGCAGTACAATCCTGTCAGAGTGCTTTGCGGATCCCCGAAGAAGTTCTCACTACTCTCCCAATATGTCACACAGCTCTGAGGCTGCAGGAGGATGCCAGTCATCTGCAGCACACAGCTATCCAGCAGTGCAATATAATGCAGGCAAGTATATGTTAAAAGAAGAATCTAATAATAAATTAGCTAATAAATTCCTGTAGTAAACTTTCCATTGGAATAATTTTCACAAGGAAAGCTTTCCCTTTCCTTCTTTTCTTACATTAGGGATTTTCTTGGCAAGTTATAAATATGTGTTTTGAATAGCTGCCTTCATTTAGAGAGAGAAAGATAGACACACACACACACACATATTTATAAATAAATATATTACACACACATATCTATCAGATGCTATATTAGCCACTTAGCTAATTAGCTACAGGGTGATATATAATCACCCTGCCTGCTTGCTTAGATTATCTGCTGAAATTTTTCTACAGAAGCATTATTTGGGGGAAAATAATATTTTCATTGATGGTGCACCAACTTTGGAATATTCCCAATATTGCACCCATGTTGTAATAATTTTGAAGCCTTAGCTTGGTTTTATCATGCTGTGGTATTCTTGTATTAATTATTTTATAGACATATTATTTCCATTCACCATTCAGTAAATCAAAATTGGATGAAAGATGATACATTCTTTTAAATAGATAAATATTCAAAAGGGAATCTACATTATGACTAATAGTTAAAAATACTTGGCAGGGAAATCTGTTTTATTAGTTTCAATCTCCAGGTATACGGTGTTTTGTTGTTGTTATCATTAATCATATTATCAAGCTGTAAAGTTCTAGGAATTCTTTCTTATTTTCACTAATTCACTGATCTCCAGGCAACTTATATCACTGAATATAATACTTCTGACATTTAAAACATGTAAAATATCATATTTAAAAGAAACTAAATTTGCATCTTGAGTTGCCGGTATATTGTATATGCCTCCTAATTCATGGGTGTCGACAAAAATATGCTGGCTTGCAAATAGTCTGTAAATTAGAGTTTGTAGCTTGCATAGGACAGTGTGAGCTGTTTGAGGTAAATGGAAAATTTGGTTGCGCTTGCGGAGTATTGGCCCAAACACGCCTACATTTATTAATACTATCCCTACTGTTAACAGGCTCTCTGTGCCACAGGTATGACCAAGGCTGGAAAGTCAACACTCTATCTTACTCTATCTTACTAAAAAGTGTATCTGATCTAAAACTTTGATTTACCAAAAACATGGTGGGCAATTACTGTCTGTGGGCCTATCTTGTGATAACCATGGCATATGGAATATTGCAAATAGGAACGTAAGGAGAGTAATTGATAAAGATCATTATTTAATGAATGAAACAAAAAAAATGTGCTGTGTGAAATCAAGAATAGATCTGAATGAAGGTGATCCAACGTTATGAAATGGAGTAGATGCATATTTGCAGAAAAGTCAAGCTATAGGTGTAACAATGAATGCAAGAGCTAAAATGTATGTGAAAAAGTATGAATTGGTATCATCCAGGTTGTTATGAATGTGTTTGAGCTTGATGATAGTTGCATGTTACACTCCTGTGTTTGATGATAACGGATGAACCAGACAGATTTGTTTAATTTAATTTTTTTTATTTTTTATGTGTGTTTGTGTGTGTGTAATCATTCTGCTATGTAACAAGAATGGTTGGGTAGAAAGGAGATGAGAGCATAGGAAAAAGAAACAAAAATAAAATGATTGGGCCATTTAGAGACCCAAAAATGAATGAGTAACAGAAACTAGCCATCTAGTCATACAGAGGTATAAAAAGTTTAGACTGTCCACACAAGTATTTAAGATACAGAATTTCTCTCTTCTTTTACATCTAGTCAGTTTTTAAGGTTGGAAGGGAAGCACAAAACTCTTAAACTGGGTTCTGGTGGAAGCCTGAGAGTATTAGAAATCAAAGGTTCTCAACATGAAACCAACCATTATTTAGTAGTGTCAAGAGCTGATCATGGGGGGGGCGGGAAATATAAATTTTAGATAAGGAAAGAAATGAGAGAAACCAGAGTGAAAGTAAGACAGCTGCGAGAAAAGACAATATGAGTCCTCTCTGAAAAAAATATTAGGAGATAAATTAATCTCCCAATAGAATAAGTGAAAAGTAGATAAAAAGAAAGAGGATTAGGAAGCTGTTTGGAAGAGAATGAAAAGAATTATGTGACACAATGTACCAAAAGGTTGAGAGAAAGATACAGTATAACGTACATTGAAAGAAAAATATAGTTGCAAAATACAGTCAAAAAGAGCAAAGAAAAGTTAAGATTAAAAGAAGCAGAGAAAATGCAGAGTGATACTGTATGTTGGAAATAAAAGAAGTATTTTGGGGAAATGGGTGAAGGGAGCTAAACTGGGAACCTCAAGCAGAGAAAAAGATTAAAAATTCAAATTATGCAATGATTTGAGATGAAACTGAAGTGAGAGAATCCTGCAAGGACCTTTTGATACATTTATTCAGTATGGTATAGTGCAATACATGTCTACGTAGAAATAAATCATACTATAAGATTGCAAACTTTGCTGTCCTTATTTTAGATGATGATGATGATGATGATGATGATGATGATGATGATGATGATGATAAGTTAATGAAGTAGTCATCTTATTTTACAGGATGCCATCACTCTATTACCTATTTTTTCCCTCTAGGAAGCAGTAGTACAGTATGAGCAATATGAACAAGAGATGAAACATCTACAGCAAATGATAGAAAAAGCACATCATGAAATTCAAGAGAAGCCCATATCAACAAGTAACATCCAAGAATTGGAAGCCCAGATTTCATGTCATGAGGTATTACAACTGAGATCCAAGGTTGACCTTTGTTTTTTAAATCTTGAAAATCACTTTGCTTTCTTATGAACCTTAGAATATTAACTAGATTTGACAGCTTTGGAAAGAAAAAACTTGTCATCCTTTTACTCTGCTGTCTTTCTCCCACAGTAGGTAGTTGAAATGGATAACAGCTCTTAATATGGCTGCTACAGCCCCATTTTTGGTGACAAACTGCCTTCTGGACTTCTTATTCTAGATCCTGAGAGTTGTATCCTACTCACTCTGAACTGTCTTTGGGGATTTTAGATATGCTTTTAGAGAAACATAGTAATGTGGCATAATGGATTTATTGGTCTCCATCTTGGTGCATCATCTTCTGTATTTTAATGTTGCCAATATTGGTCTCCATCTTGGTGCATCATCTTCTGTATTTTAATGTTGTCTCTCTCCCCATACCACTGTTATTAATATAAAAATCTTTTCTTATAAAGATATGAATATCTACAGACAAGTTCTAATCATCCCACCTTGTCAAATGCTTGTGTAAATAAGGGTGAATAGTTTACTTAAAGGATTTTTTTTTCTTGTAATATCTCTGTTCATTGGAGCTTTCTGTCTTAAAGTACCCAGTTTTTCAGAAACATAGAACAAGAAGAATTGTTGGCAGACTTTGTTCAGGTGCAAACAGTTATCTTTTCCCCACTCCCTTTGCTCACTATCTCAGTTCTGTTCTCCATTCAGAAATCCACAAGAACAAAGCCACCACCTTCTAATCTCTCTGTCTTTTCTGTGCCAAGCAATAGTGGTCCAGATCAGTACAGTCACAAATCATCCCAAAGACCCCTTTGCTTCCTGGCAATCCTCTCCCATCAGGTACCTGTCTGCTGAATCACCCACCAAACATAATATAAGGAAACTTCACTTGTGCCTTAATTATATTTCTTTATTTCAGCAGGTATAATGCCTAGATAATGAAATTTTAAAGCATGAAGACAAATTAATGAATTTTGATTTTGAACTATAAATTATAATTTTTTATAAAAGCAAATGATCTGAAAAATTGTTATGAGTGTTGTGCATGTAGCAGAAATCTTGGGCTTGTTTTATCTTGTTCTGTTGTCATTATTTTACTTGGTCCTAATTCAACTTCCCTTTAAACAAGCAATCCTTTTAATAAATAATCATCCATTCATTTTCCCAAATAATCTCATCAATATAGCAAATCTGTTGACACTGTGTTATATGTTAAATGGCACATAGGGTTTGTCTCTGTGGAATAAATTGAAAAACATCCTGTGAGGAGGTGTATGGAGTACCTTCCTATACTCTGGCAATAATAATAAGTAATGCATTAATGCTATACATTTACTTAAATGTGTCTATTAAATGCAGTGTTAATTGCATAGATGCAATGATAATTATGATAATTTAGATAGAAATATAGTGCAACACAGTTTAGCAGAGAAGGCTGTGACCAGATGGCCTTTTTGCCTGCTATTCAATCTACTTCTGTCAGTCTTCTATCATTTATACTTTAAAACAGTGTTACCAATTCCAAGAATATGTTCCCAACATGCCAGCTGGAATTCCAGGAGTTCCCAAAACTTGTGGGGGAAAAAACATCAGAGTAGTGGCTAAAGCAAAGTAATATCCCTAAAATATGAAGATTTGCTTTTGAACTGTTTTAAGATTCTTTCCTACTGTTCCTATAAGCTAATGTATAATTTAAAAATTATTTTATGTGTTAAAAATTAAAAAGGATTAAGCAACTAAAACTCTCAAAGGAAGAAGAAAACATACTTTCAGACTGAGCTGAGCTACATACCTCAGAATTTATTATCATTTCAAATGAGCCTATAACCTATACAACATTTGTGTTACATTCTTTGTCATGTGAGGAACAGCAGGTTCACAACAACCATTTGGAATGAAAGTTTGCTAGTCCTTAAAATATCAGGTGCCCAATGAAATAATAGATAATTAGTTTGCTGAAACCAGATGTCAAACCAAAAAACTACACCAACCTCTTAAATTTTCTTTCAGGATTTATTTTTTTTTTACTACACTGAATTATTTTATGTAGAGCAAGAAGTGTAAAAACCTGTTGGGCAACAAAAGGCATGAGATGACTTTGTTTTAATTGGAGATATTTAAAAACAAAAGAGGCCATGCCTCCAGGTTTTTTTGAAGAGCAAAATATTAGAAATTACCACAGTAAAATAAGGCAAATTATTCTGAAAAACAAAGTCATTAAGAAATACAATAAGAGTTAATTTACAAATTTACTTTCATTTTCAGAACCTGGTATGTTGTGGATATTTTTATGGAAGCTGAAACAATTGCTCTCAATATTGCTATAAATCGGTCTCAAAACACATACTAAGTTTCCCCATTGAACTTTCTATATTTGGATCCAATACTTTTGAAAAACCATTGGGTATAATGTTTAAGTTAACTCTTAAGTTAGTGTGTAGCCAGAAGCCAAATGAAAAAAAGAAAAAGATTAACGACTGGCATGATATATGTACAAATTACCAGTATAAATGTTACTGTCTCCATAGTTATTTTCATATTAATCCAGTTATATGTAAAAATTTCCCTCACTTATTTACTTACAGATCTTCTTTGTACTCAAGACAGTTTGAGCTCTGTGCATGAAAGAGTACATTAGGATAATCCAGGAAAATAAGATTATATTTATATCTATACTTATACTATACTTAGGTTATTGAGGCCATGGTTCCTAATAAGATATATACTTTTTTCCCGAGTATATACTATTCCAGACTATTCCAAAATAATTGGAATTGGAATATTTTCCATGTTAAAGTCATTCCTCCACTCCTTTTGCATAGATCCTTAAGAAGCCCAGTCTAGCAATCTTTTGTTCAGATCATGGCTCCTCAGAGCAAGACTGTGAGGTCCATTAAAAGTGATCTTTGGCAGAATTAATTCAATTCTAGCTTCATTTGATTAAGGTTTTAATTTTCTAGAAGTGATCCCTCATCCATAGCATCCTTAAAATCATACGTTTTGTTCATGCTTTATGATCCAGATTTCAGTTGCTGCTGTTTCTGTACTATGTTTCTCATTCATAGTATCCAGATGTGACAAGCTGCAGCTAGAAATGCTACAGTGAACTGACCTATATTGCATCTATTCATCTGCAAATACAAAGCAGTTTGTGCCATGCAGTATAAATCAGTGGCAGCTGTGATTATATTTTAACTTCCTCAGGTCATGTCAGAAGAATATTCAGTCTGTTAGGTGTATATCTGCCTTTTGCTGGAGTGTTCTCTATATTCCATACTCCAGATTATGCTGTACAAATTTGGAAAACTGTCACCCAAACTGAAGCTGGAACTGAAAGGCTCACAGGCAGAGATTCAGAGACATAGATTGACAAGATAATTTTATTACAATTATTAGAAAATATGTTAGTATGAAGAAAGCCAACAACTGCAAACCGTGGGATTCAAGCTAGAAAGATGGAGAGAGAGAAAGAGAGATGAGAGCCAAGATTCAAATCTTACTGTATGTTTCTTTCTCCCAGTCATGTGTCATAATGGGTTGAGAGCCATTCATTTTGGGACTGAAGTAGTGGTTGATGCCGGTAATCGACTACAAAAGTCTCACCTCAGGCTCTCTGCTTCTAATTTTGCCCTCACAGAAGCACCAGCAGCTCATACTAACCCTGATGCAATTAACTGGAATGCAATTGTCCATGGCACTTTGTTCCTCTCTAGCCCATCTTTTGGACAATTGCTTTAGAAATTATAAACGTAACATAAAATGGCTTGCTATATATACCAGTTGTGAGCCTAGCTGACAAAAGCACATGTAAAAGAGGAGAAAAATAAAGAAAAACGTCCATGTCTGGTTAAAACTGGTTATAGGAATGTATTTTTTTCATGTACCTCTTTTGTAGTCTTTGCTAAGAGGCTGCTATTTTTACTTTCACTTTCTGTACAGCATTCTGAAGCTAGGATTCTAACTCTTTATATATGATGATTAGAAACCTGACCTGAAGCACTTGAATTAAAGGGTTAAGCAGCTACTTCTGTATTATAGTAGCGTTCTTTTGCAATCCTTATTTGCTCTGCCAGCCAGGTAGTCAACTTTAAGCGGGTCTAATCCTAAATGTGTATTTGCTGAAGAAGAGAGGCCTTGATATTTGGATTTTAGCTTTAAATCAGCTTGTGTGGGTTTTTATTCTAAATAAAACTTGGATGCAATCCCAGTTGTTGCTCTGCTTAAGCAATTACAAGGAATAGGTATTTTATAACCCCATACAAAAACAAACATGCTACTTGTAGCATGTTTATTTTTGCTATATTTGCATAGCACACATTCCTGGTAAAGCCAGCATATTAGAACAGCAAGAAGGAAGTAACAGTGTTTGTTAGCCTTGCATATTATTGTCTGCTCTGTTAACTACTGTATATTCAAACTGAAGAGAAACAGCAGGGTTCTTTTTTTTTTTTTAACACTTCCAGTTATCACATGACCTCATTTCCCTGGTATGTACTATCTGGAGACGTTCAGCTGGTTTTAGTGCCTTGCAGAAAGGCGACAGAATAAATTATTCCTCCTTTCCCTCCCGTTCTCAGCGGAATTCTGTGTGGAAATTGCTTGTCTTTGTTACCAGCTTAGTCTCCCTGTCTGTGATAAGGGAACAGTTCATTTGCAGAGCTGTCTCTGTTAAAGGGTTAAGCGCTCAGTGTGATGCAGCCTGACTTGTTCTTTTTTCCACAATCAACATCCTGTGGTTCAGCTATTGCTGTGGCTAATATGGAGCGTCTGAAACATAGAACTGTGATTTCATTGGCTGATCTTAAAGAAGCAAGCCAGTCTTTCTAACGGAAGCAGAATTGCTGCTAGCTCTTACTTCTTAAGGCCTTCACTGATCTGCGGTTTTCTCAGGAACTGGCACAGAAGATCAAAGGTTACCAAGAGCAAATCGCATCTCTGAATTCCAAGTGCAAGATGCTAACGATGAAAGCCAAGCACGCCACTATGCTGCTGACAGTGACAGAAGTAGAAGGGCTTTCAGAAAGAATGGAGGAGTTGGATGCAGAAGAAATGCTTCCTGCACACACAGCTCACCCATCTGTAGTGATGGTAAGCAGTGACCATGAAATTTACATTTATCTGATGGGATCATTATTTGCAGTATTGCTTCTTACACTATTATGATAAAGAGTATTGCAATCCTTCAGGTTGTTTACTTGCTTTTAGGAGATGTCTGAATATTGTAGAGTAAAACGCACTGAACTCAGTTTATGCCAAACAGCAATTATATACAAAGTGAATAGAAATCAGCCAGGTATCTTTGTGTGGGAGAAGAGATTGGGGGGAGGGCATAATTCAGCCTTTTAAAATATGTTTACTACATATCAGTACTAAATTCAGTAAATTGTTTACTGTAAATAACAAGTTAGGTTGAGGCTTATACTTCTAATAACTCATTTTTAAGAAATATTATGGCTTTTATGTCAAATGCAGATTGGATGTCTAAATGCAGAACTGAAGAAGAATTTAAATTAAAATGTTACATTATGTATAAATCATTTAAACATCTGCACCAGTGGTAAATGGTTAAAGAAGTTTATACTAAAAATGTTTTATAGATAAATAAAATGTTTCAGTGTTTAACTATTAACAGTAAACAGAAAAGCATCCATCGGAGGAGTGTATTCCTTTCTTAGGCTCTTAAATTAAAATCAAAAGCTTTTATTACAATCGTAGATCAGAAAACTAAAATTTAAAATATAAACTACAGAACCTAATTAAAAGTATTTGAGGGGGTCTTCATTGTTGCCCAGCAATAGGTGGGAACTCTTCTAGTTATGCCTTGGTTGATGTCTGATAATACAGTAATAGTTTAGTATAAAACTCATCTGTTTTGCCTGGGAATCACTGGAGGAGGTGCTATATGGTACTTTCAGAAATCTCTATAGTAATTGCAGTAAAAGAGGACATGCTTCACTGTTTTTATTTCTCCATTTTTGTTTGCTTCCTAGGCTTTTGTACTTCTGCTCATATAAGATGTCTTAAATGGGTGCTGGGGAAGTTTGATGGAATATGGGGAGGGAGGACAAAAAAACTATGTTAGATTACAGTACTTAAACTCCACTTGCATGACTTGAACACAGCTAAATGATTGTTGTGTTCAGTAGTTTCACATGTTGATCATCTTTTTGCAGTGTTCCTAAGTAGCAGTGGTAGGGGTCTGTGCTTATTTTTGTGCAGAAGGAAAGGCAACAGTGGATGAAATAATGATATAAGGTGGTTAGAACTACTTCAGTGGTATCCATATAAAAGGATGCAAAAATGCACTGATTTTCTTTGTGCTGCTGAATTTCCAGCGGTTACATAAAGGAGCTCAAGCACCCCATGCAACCCCAGTGTTGTAGGTTGATCTGGATGAAAACTGCATTGTCTTTGGCTGTATGTTCTAGTTGTCTCTCTGTAATTTTTCCCACATATTTTCCTTCTTGATAAAATTAGCACCTGTGTTTTATCATTATTGTGGATATATTAGTTTCTAAATAGATCTGTTGTATAAATTCTTCAGAAATTCATCCTTCATCAACTTTACTAACATACTTTTGGTGCATACACAGTGATCAGGAAAAAGAAAAAAGAAGGCAAAAAGAAGAGTCTTCTAGATCTAAATGATTGTGTAAAAGGGATTTTGATAGGCACAGCTAATCATACAGAGGTGGAAAACGTTTTGCCTGCCAAAACCTACCACACTAGTATCAAGATTCAGAATTTCTCTCCTTCTTTATAGTTGATCAGTTTACAAGTTTGAGAAGAAAGCATAGATCCTTATAAAGTGTGTTCTTATGAAACTCCACATTTTTGAAGACATGAAATGCAAAGTCTTTCTTGTATCTGAATGATCTTCCTGTCCTTTGGGATTGCATTTCCCATGGCAGATGACTGCTGGTCGCTGTCACACACTTCTGTCACCAGTTACTGAGGAGTCTGGGGAAGAGGGAAGCAACAGTGAGATTTCTTCTCCTCCTGCCTGTCGCTCTCCTTCACCTGTGGCTAATGCTGATGCTTCTGTTAATCAGGTATCTCCCTCCCAGCATTCATTCATCTGTGCTGTCTACAAACATCTGTGGTCCTCAGTGTGCAGTATCTCATCTGTTCAGTAATGTGGAGATTTTTTTCAGGAAAAAAGAAATCAAAAACTGCTGAGTACAGATCATTCAGGCTTAGCAAATATAGAACCTTTAGTTTATCATTAAGAAATCACCATTCATTCTCATTTTAAAAATTAGTCTAACATGTCAAAATTGTAAAAGAACCTGAGGAAACACAACCTTATGCTAAAATGTTAGAAATATTTCATTGTCTCTTTGTCTTGTTTCTGTCACTAGATTGTTGCAGAAAGAGGTATGATATTTTCCATTGTTTCGTTTATGCAGGAATAATCCATTTTTTTCAAATGAATTCAGCTGTTTTCTTTGTATCACTTTCTTTTCAACAGAAGAGTTCATGTAGTGTGTATCTGCATATGTCTATACATATGGGGCCAGCCCTTCTATCAGTCAAAAGTATTTTGGTTTCATTTCATATCAAAGGGCCCACTGAAAAGAAGTATAAAATGGAATAAAACAATGAAAGTTTTCTCATTAAGAAATTGTTATAGTTTCCTTAACACCAAGTATATGTTGTGGATTCTGATGTCTCCTTGCATGCACTGCATGTTTGAGATCTTCCCACAGATTTTCAGTAATATTTAACTTGTGGGACTGTGAAGGCCAATCCAAATTTTATCTTTCCTTTAAGTACTTCACAGGTATGTTTCAGAACATTGTCTTGCTGAAATATACAACCTTTTTTCAGCCTCATTTTTTTCACTAAGGTATTTGCTTGAAGGCTAGGACAATCTCCAGGAAAGGTGTTCAGATGTCCAACACCAAGCTCACAGTTCATTGCAAAGGATATGCTGGAAAATTTAGCTGATACTGGAGTAGTTGTCTCCAGGTCTCAGTACAGAGTGTCTCATATAACAATGATCTGCATGAGAGAATTGTCAGAAGCAAATGTCCAAAAGTCATAATAAAGGTCATCATCTCAAGTATGCAAAATAAATCCTTGATAAGCCTGAAATGTTTTGGAACAAAACTTTTGAATTATGAAACAAAAATTGAACTCTAGAACCATAACCATGCAAGATACATTTGGAGAAAAATGGCTGAAGCATTTGAAGAAAGGAACAATTTGCTCTATCATGCTTTGGGGTTGAATGGCAGCCAGTAGCACAGAAAGTATTATGTGGGTGGGAGGAAGAATGGATCCAACTAAATATCATCATAAACTTAGAAGCAAATATCCTATAGTCAGTGAAGAAATTAAATCTGAAAAGAGATTGGCTCTTTTAATTCAAAGATAATCATCTTAATTCAAGATAATTCAAAGCTTACCTCTAAAACAACTATGAAGTACTTAAAGGTTAAAAAAATATAAAATCATTATCAGTGATATTTTAAGCTGTGCCAAAAAATTGTTTAGGAAACAAATTTTACTTGCATTGCAACTAATGAAAAAAAAGTGGGTATCATAAACGTACAGGTAATACCTTAAATTAAATTTATGTTATGTCTGTCATTGGCTTCATGTAAATTTTAAATAGCATGTGACTGTTTAACACTAAGTTCTTCTCTGGCTGGAGAGGTTTCCTGGAACACTGGGATGCAGTGCTATATATGTTTACTTTATCATCCATGTTAAATCAAAAACTGGCAAATTTATAATTCTTCAGTTCTGTGTTTACTTAAATCATCCATAGCCATCTTCAAAGACTGTTCCAAAGTGTGTGTGTGGGGGGAGGAGGTTACATAAAAAATATAGGCAAAAATTATGGGAAGTATTAAAACACCATAAATGGAAACTATAAGACATTAGTACTAAACTAGAGTTTATTGAAATTTCAAGAATAAGTTTCAACTCTTTTGAAAATACAATATTTTGCCTCATGCTCATAGGACATTGCTTATTACCAAGCCTTATCTGCTGAACAGTTGCAGACAGAAGCATCCCAAATTCAGCCTAGCACCTCGATTGCTCAGGAATCCTGTGAACCAAGATTAGAGTCCATTACCAGTACTAAACTGGATGATCTGCAACGTTCTTGGGAAACGCTGAAAAACGTGGTAAGTCCTTTGGTGTAAGGAGGAACGGAACAAATATTACAATTAATGTTGATGGGGATTGATGCTTATGTCAGAGTAAATACTGTACTTGCAAAGACATACATGGTCTAGACTGAAAGTGAGGTTGCATCGAAACTACGAGGAAATTTCCATACAGAAGTTTTCAAGGGCCTTGAATAACCTCTTCAAGTTCAATCAAATTCCAGAAGCCACAAAGCACTTTTAAACAATCAGATGAGGCCTGATCCATTCAACACTCCAGGTGCTATTTCTTATGTATCCAAAATAGCACCACCCACAAATAAGGTATTAGCATGCTTGCAGGAAATCTGAAAGGGAAAAAAAGAGGGCAAGACTGGCAAAATGGGGGATGCGGGACTGACCATGTTCTTTGGACATGGAATGCTGTCTTTTGGAGAAAAAAAAGTACAATAAATAAACAGTTTGACATAGCTGATTACCTGGAATATTCAGGAGGAGCAATCCACCATGCAACGTGCTGTTGCAGGTCATATTTGGAGCTTTGGCTGCAGTTTCAAATGTGGCTCCTGGATTATTAATGAGCACTCGATACTGTGTTGCGATTATATTATAACAGTGCAAAACCAGTTGCTCTGGTCCCCAGTCTTTTCTAGACTCAAGCTTAAATCTTATTGTGACCCCTAAAGTCCATCAGGTTTAGTATCAGGGTACTGGGAGGTCTGTTTGCTTTTTCCATATTGGCCATTCATAGATGAAGATTTTCAGTGGGAATCTCCCTCTGAAATAACATAAATTATAACAAAGGGCACTGTGAAATGTTCTTTCTTAAAAGGGATTCACAAAAGGGATTCAGCATCTCTCTTGCTATGTTTTCAATACAAGGCAAAGACTTGTTGATTTTCTGAAGTGTTTTAGCTTATGTTCATTTCATGTGCTTTATATTTAAGTTTTATTTATTTTTTCTTTTTTATCAGCTGCTCTGGAAATATATTTGAAGTGCGGCTTAACAGTACTTGTAATTAGTAAATAGCTTGGCCACTTGTCAGTTTGTAAATAAGTGTCTTCATGCCATCATGTGGATATCTGGGAATAAAAGGCTACGTACCCAATGCCAATAGCATGAATCCATGTGCTATGAGGAGGGTTAATGACAAAAGAAATTACATGAAATAGGAAAACATTAGATTTTGTATCATTAATTTTATCAACCTTAATGACTAATTCTTGAAGATTATTAGGAACCTACAACTGTATGAGAAGAATATAATACAGTGTCCATTATAGTGATAATAAAAGCTCAGCCAAAACTCGTGCACATATACTCAGGCTAAAAGCAATTTAATTATAGTTTGAGATTGGGAGCTGTTTTGTAAAGATTTGGCAACATAAATTTCATTGCAATAATGTTTATGAATAAAGTCTTCAGTAGTATGTCTTTTAAAATCCTAAGGTAAAATCACTAAGCAGTAAGTGTATGAAAAACAAAATTACATACTGTATACACATTTAATATATCTGTATACTTCCTTTTTCTTAATCTTTTATTAAGATATTGTTAGTTCAGTGCATTTTGTCATTATTTAATACAGAAGTTTATAAAGGTTTAATCTCTACTTACAAATAATTTTTCCCTTTAGATTAGTGAAAAACAGCGCACACTTTATGAGGCCCTTGAACGACAGCAGAAATACCAAGATTCTCTTCAGTCTATATCAACAAAGATGGAAGCCGTTGAGGTGAAATTAAATGATGCTCTAGAGAGTAATAGGAGTCCAGAAAGCCAGATGGCTGGCCACCAGGTAAAATAAATGAATAAGCAAATTACAGGGTTGCTTCTTGTTCAATTTCAGGTCCCCAGTCTTCAGATCCAACTATATGGCAAAGTTATGTCACGCTTTTTTTCATTCTCTGCCTTCTTTTAGAAAGTGACGAAAGTATTTTTAAAAATCAAGTATCTTAAAAGACAAAGGATATTACTTTAAAGGTATTATGTGTTTGCCAAGTACTCATTTGTTACCTTTGTTTTTACTGTAGTAAAGTGCAGGTAAGGATAGTAGCAAGCCATTGCCAAGGCTGGTGTTTATTTATGTGGAGTTGCCACAAGACTGAATCTAACTCACTGATTTTAAATCAATGAACGTATTGTGGTTATAAATATCTTGATATATCAGTTCCTGATAGGCGTTTTTGGTGTGATTTTATGACTGTGTAATTGTGAGGTGCCTAGATGCTTGTGTGATTGGATACTATAATATCTAAATAAATAAATAAAATCTTGTATTCCTCTGTGGATCACATTCACTGTACTGGATCTGATGACATGGGCTACTCAGAGTCTAGTTTATATTACTCATTGGAACTCAGCAGTTCAAACTTATTAATCTTTTAAGGCATGTTTTTTTTTCAGCGATAATGTAACTAAGTTGGTCCTGTTTAACTTCTATCTTTAATAGGCTTTGATGGATGAAATTCTAATGCTCCAAGAGGAAATAAGTGAGCTACAAACCTCATTAGCAGAAGAACTGGTATCTGAGCCATCTAACACAGATGCTGCTGAACAGTTGGCTCTGCAGTCCACACTCACTGTCTTAGCAGAGAGAATGGCCACTATTAAGATGAAAGCTTCAGGAAAACAGCAGCTTCTTGAGGTACAAGGATGCTGAAAGAAAGTTTTAATTTTACAGTACAGTAAAATAAGTAACATCTTTCAAAGAGGAGCGCAGATATGTTGATGGATTAAGCTGACGTTTTCCACCTCTATAATCAAACAACACCATGGCTGGGTGGTTTTCATTGTACTAAGTCCTGGCTCCTTCATTCTTCAGTTGCATGGTTTGCTGCACACAAGAAACTCCCATTCTGCAATATTGCTGCAGAAGTCACAGTGCTTCTCTTTGTTTTTGCACAGGACAGGTTAACACTTCCAGCATTCTGGTCTGATCTCTGCAGGGTTATGGTTCAAGTAGAATAGACAAGTTGCAGCATGAAAAGTACACCATATCCCTTTTTCAAACTGTTTTTATCAAGAATTAAGAGGGCAAGCTGGCAAATGAGCATCAAAAAAATAAGCAGCTGCCCAGAGTCACTTTGTGTGAGATGGGCGGATGAATGAATGAATGAATGAATGAATGAATGAATGAATGAATGAATGAATGAAACTGGTTGATTTGTATCTTCTCTGCTGGTGAGGAAGCTCTAATGCTAGTGGCACTTTTATTCTGATACTATAAATTGTTTATCGCAAAAAGTTAATATTCCTGTCTCTTCAGAACTTCTCTCCTGGGAATTCTGGACTGGGTAAATTAATCTCTCAAATTGTTGTCTTCTCCTTGTACATTGCCCCAACCCCTCTTTGGTGATCTTCCATTACCCAGGAATGTGCACATCTTTAGAAGTCTGAAACTACTTTAATACAACTTTGCTTGCTAGCCATTTTCTCCCTTTCTTTCTCTCAGTCCAATAACTCCCTTCCTGCCAGCTCTTTAGCCCATTTCAACTTCCTCCCCATTCTCCATGAGAAACTCAGTGTGTGAAAAACCCTTATCTTTTTCTATCCTGGCTACCTTGCAGGTACCTTGCAGGTCTAGGAGATCACATCAGGATAGCAGACATTTATTTGCTCAATTTTGTTACATGTATCCTTAAATTTAGTTTTCTGTCCATTTGAAAACAAATACATTGCAAATAATGGCTTGCAATTCCCAGGAGAAACTCAATGAGCAACTAGAAGAACAGCGTCAAGAGCAGGCTCTACAAAGATATCGCTCTGAAGCAGATGAACTTGATCACTGGCTACTGGATACAAAAGCATCTCTAAACACTACATTGATGATTGATGAGGAGCCTATGGATATGGATTCTCAACTGGTTGACTGCCAGGTAGAAAAAAATATCTTCATGTTTAAATATTATTTCTGCTGTACTAACAGAGATTTTTTTATGTGTTACTAAATTAAATATTACCCACAAAAGTAATGCTATTTTTCATTGATTATGTGCCATCAAATCACTGTCAACTCTTAGCAACAGGCATACTATAAGGCCAGTTATATTTGTCTCAAAATTAAATTACAGGGTTTTATTTCTTGTAACAAATTAGGTATGGTAATAGATAATGTAAATATATGTTTTAATCCCAATAATTTGTTATCATATTGTCTTGTTTATTTTTCTCTTCTAGTTATTTGAATCTATACATAACAATTTCCAAAATTTGCCATGAGTTCTAAAGTTGAGCAAAGTTGCTTTTCAAATTACACTGTATACAGTGTACAGAAAATACAGTGTTTTGTATCTTAATATGATACCCAGTTATATTAGAAAGATGAAGTTGAATGTGAATGTGAAGTTGAATGTGGGTGATTTGTTCAGGTTTAAAATATCATACAATAAAGTCTAGTTATAGTGGAAATAATTTTTTTAATGATTCAGTAGTGAAATTTTTATGCTTTAAACTAAGAAGAGTTATAATAATTTCTGAAAAGAAAAAATAATTTTTGTAAATTAAAGAAATTTAAATTCTAGTTAGTTTAAATTATGATTTGTTGAAACAAATAAAGGTCAATCCATGATTTATGGTCATGGTTTGTTTAATAATCCACAGAGTATTCAGAAAAGTTTCTTCAGTTCTTACATATTAATAAACTCCAGGTATTTTAAAAAGGGAAGAAAATCCTTCTAAGCTCTAAATGATTGTCCTATTGGAGAATAGCATATGAACTCAAGACTTTGTTTTGTTTAAGCAAAAGTGAGGATTATTGTAAAATTTGAAACAAGTCACTAAATTATTATTTGTGAACTGATTTACATGCAAAAACAAGAGATAATCTATGAAGAACCTAGTAAACTTGTATTAATAGAAACAAAACAATGTTTAATAGGAAGATAACTTAAAAAGGGGGGGTTGACTTACCTGTTTCATTTTACCTGTTTCTTTATTGTAGTGGGAGAGAGTAATGTCATATGTGTCATGACACCTTTGCACATGATAAGAATGTTGTAGTTGTGTCATGTCACAAATATGTAATTTGCATCGTTTTAACATCACTGTAATTTCTACCAGACACCTATGCATTATATAATTGCCTTTAAGAATAGTTTTAGACAAACTGCTAGCATACCTCAAATCGATGTCAACATCAGAATTCCTATAAAAATATAATGTGATTCAAACAGCAAATTATTTAACACAGAAATCTTTAAGCTTGTCTGTCACAAAATATTGGCACTTATTTAGCACTGTGTATAAATAAATTGTCTGCATTTCAAAATAAATACGCCAGAGATTTGTCCCTTTAAGTCGCTTTCTAATGAAAGAAGATTATGTAGAGGATCTTAGGCCATTTGTGCACCAATCAGAAAGATCCACTGTGAGAAGAAGCTTACCAATTCAACAGAGCAACGAGGGAAGGAAGGGTGAGAAGTGCAGAAGTACACCATGTAGAAGAATTGTCTGCATTTCAAAATAAATACATCAGAGATTTGCCATCCTAACTAAATGAGATCTGCCTATTCCAATAACCTAGGGATGACGTTGTCTGCCGTATTGCTGCACTAAAGAAATGGAATAGAAATAAGCATATAAGCAACAGTGACATCCAACATATACTGTATTTGTTACTTATATCCTTATAGTTACCTTTTTGAAGATTTTTTTACAAGTGAAAAATAATGCAAAATATCTTAAGTATATTTCTGAGAAAATTGCAGAGAAAACACGGAGCAGTAGCATAAATTTGGCTTGCTCTTAGTTGAAAATGAGGAGGTAGGCTTTTGATGGATGCTTCGGGATGTATGAATTTGCTTCGTTGTTTTTGCTGCTGCAGAATATGCTTGTGGAAATTGAGCAGAAGGTAGTGGCTTTGTCTGAGCTGTCCGTACAGAATGAAAACCTTCTCATGGAAGGAAAAGCTCAGACCAAGGATGAGGCTGAGCAGCTGGCCCTGAAACTCAGAACGCTAAAGGGAAGTCTTTTGGAACTACAGAGAGTCCTTCATGACAAGCAGATCAACATCCAGGTAAGGAGCTCTTTTTAATTGGTTTTAATGATATTCTTTGGATTTATATATAGGAATTGGGGAAATAATACAATGTTTACTGTTAAGAATCTGAACTCAGAGTAACCTTTCTATTTTTTGTAATGTTTGACATAAGTAAATAACAAACTGCCTGAACTGATTTACTTGCTCAGTTTTATTCCCCACCTTCTACTTTTCTGTGTAAAACACACACACACACACATACACACACACCTTGAGTCAGTTTTAACTCCTGGCAACTGCTTGGACCAGTCCCTACAGTTTTCTTGGCAAGATTTTTAGAAGTGGTTCACCCTTGCCTTCTTCCTAGGGCTGTGACTGGCCCAAAGTCTGGCCCAAAGTCACCCAGCTGGAAATGGGACTGGACTGTGGTTTCTAGTCTGGTGCCTTAACCACTGTACCAAACTGTCTCTCCTTCTTCTATTCTGCTGAGTATTATTTGTTTCTGGACAAATGTTCAAATATTGTGGCCTTGGCAAAATAAATCAGCATTAATCAAATCATATGTCAGATATAGCTACTAATCCTTCTTCTTTTTAGTTATGTTTTAATTTAGGGTTTTATGTGTTTATATATTTATGTTCTAATGTTTATTGTGAATCACCCAGAGTTCCCCCATTGGGGGGAGATG